CCTAAGCACTGATGTGAACCTGCTAAGGTGCTTATGTGAACCTGTTGAGGCGCTGATGTGAACCTTCCAAGGTGCAGATTTTAACCTGCTAAGGTCCTCATGTGAATCTGCTGAGGTGCTGATTTCAACCTGTAAGGTGCTCGTTTGAACCTGCTAAGGTGCTGAGTTGAACCTGCTAGATGCTTATTTGAACCTTATAAGGTGCTCATGTAAACCCCAAGGTACGAAAATGCACCTTTAGTGTGCTAAAATGAACCCCAATAAGGAGCTTTTCTGACCACAGTTTGCACCTTCTGTCAATCATGTCATAATTAAAGGGTACAATTTAGAACCCCAAAGGAGCATTACTGTACCATATAATGGGGTGCAAGGTTGCACCTTTATTTAGAGGTACAATTGTGTACCTTTACCTGGCTGTGGTGTTGCATCGTTTTGTACCTTTTTAAGTAGATATTTGCACCTTTTTTTTTAAACAGTGTATAAGACCCTCAAAATGATACTTTGTCGGAGCCTCCGGGGCTTTTCTCAAAAACTCCCTCCAGGTCTCTGCCCCTGGACCCCCAAATTTCAGAAAGTCCAATTTTAAAAACTATTATTTCATTAAAATCTTCCCTAATTATCGCGAAATGCTATAGGCCTAGTATGCATTACATTTTTTTTTGCCCGCTCTTCTAACCGTTGATTTTTAATAATGTGCTACGAAATCTCTTGGAAATTATCAGCTCCAGTGATTCCAGATTGATCCATGTCATCTGTAGACCAACAGATGTAAAGGACATAAAAAGTTACAACTTCACAATGGCGGATTAGTGGGGTGGGGGGGGGAGTTTCCTAAAATTATAAAATAAATGGAGAAAAAAGAAAAATCATAATTAAATTTTGTTTGAGAGTGCCATTTCCGGCCATCTAGAGGTGCCATAATCATAAAATTTCCTTACCTCAACCCCAACCATGGTGGGGCTCAGGTGGTATTGACCATCCGTCTGTGAAAGTTCCTCCCGGCCCTGGACCCCACCCTCTATTTCTCCTGCTTTATGGTTCTAAAAAATACCCAAATGAATGAAAATTTATATAGAATATTACGAATTATAGGTTTCAGAAATCCATTATAAGGCCCTCAAAATGCTAATTTGTCGGAGCTTCCGGGGGATTCGCCCTCCCCCCACCCGCGGGATCCCTGAATATAGAACAACTAATACAAATAAAATCATTTAATAGAACAATAAAAACGAGCCTGTATCTGAAATAAAATTTAAAAACTATAAAAAAAACTCATATAAATAACATTTTGTTGTTATATGCTTATATTTAAATGCATCAATTATTAACGATTAGTTGTTTTTCCCCTCATTTTATAAAATCAGAG